CGGGAAATTAGCGAGTTGAAGAACTGAGTAACCCCCAGGTGTTTGAGGGAATATAGATGATTATATATATATATATATATATATATATATATATATATATATATATATATAGAGAGAGAGAGAGAGAGAGAGAGAGAGAGAGAGAGAGAGAGAGAGATGATATAGATGTTGAAATTCTCTTGTATGAGAGAAGGAGCTGTAGAGGAGAGAATGACCGTAAGTTAGGCACAGAGCTCATTAAGGGAGGAAGGAGGATACTCTGGAGGTCAGTAGATAATAGCCATATGAATCTTGATTGGGTAATAAACAGGTATTGAATGAGCCTCAAAAGAGGAGAGGTTACTGAGTGATAGTGGCGAGGGACAGCCTAGAAGTGGCAAAGGAGTACAAATGAGTGCAGCGTATGGCTGAAAGTATAACCAAGAAAGGGTAGCCAGGGAAGCAATGTCATTAGGAGGGAGCCAGGTCTCAATGAGGGCACAAAGATTGAGGGAATGAGAATGGCGGAACAGCCCTTCCAGAGAGCATAGTGGAAGGGTTGGGCCATTTTATAGTGGGAGGTTGGTGGGTGGTGGTGTTAAGAGAATGGTCAGTGGAGGATGGCAAACAAGGTATGAACAACGACAACTAAATGAATGTTCAGAACCTCAGGGATGGGGTGGAAGTATGTTACCCATTGAAGAATGAGTTCAGGCAGTTTTTTTGTCCACAGGAGATCATCCTTGAGAGAAGAAAAAATTGCAAGGAGGGTACCCAGGAAACAGTAACATAGATCTTATGGAGCTGTATGTTACCAGACAAAATGTCATATAATCTATTTGATTCAAATAAGTAATTCACAATATGTGTGCATAGCCTTTAGTTCCTGGGATCCCTGAACAGTAATAACTCACAAATCTGTAGCACCTTAAAATTTACGAAGCATTTTCCTCAAAACAAGTTTATGAGGTCAGTAATCAAATGTTGTCCCAATTTAGCTTAATAAGGAAACCGAGTTTTTGAGAGAATGAGGAGTTTGCCCAAGGTCCCACAGATAGTGTCGATACTCAAGCCCAGGACTCCCAACACCCAACCCAATGCTCTGTTAGAGGACCCCAAAGAGCAAAGCATCATTCACGTGAAGGAAGAAGTCCTGGCATGTGAGCCAAAAGAATGCTTTCCACGCCCCATGGATTTACCCTTACTCTCCTACTGACCTGCATTTCTTTCATTGTCCTCCTTGCCATACTTTCAGGATACCTGCCTTTCCCCTCCCCACCCCTCCGTTATTCTTCAAGCACATGGGTAGAGGACCTGACAGTTCTAAGGAGAGGCGGCTGCTTTTTGGAAAGGAACTCCTCCTCAAAGGAGCAGCTGGACCCCTTCCCAGTGGCTCAGAGAAAGAGAGAGAAGCATCATCCACAGCCACAGTGGTTTCATTCAGTAGTCCAGCAATGAAAAAAGGAGGGGAGAAGGGAGAGACAAAGGGATAGTTTGCAAGAACACGGAGAAGGGCTGCATTTGACTCCAGAGAATCCAAGCTTTCATTTTTTTTTTTTAGTCCAGAATGAGCAACCTAATTAAGGGACCCAGATGGCACAGCCAGGCTCTGTGAACCATTGCTCTGGCCTGACCCCTACAGGGGTAAGCAGAGTGGAGGAGGAGGGGGAGGGCTCTGGCTGTTTCTCTTGGCCCGTGCCTCGCCTGGCTGCAGTTCAGAGTTGCTTCTCAGTATACCTAGTCATCCTTGACCTCGGGGATTGGCTCCTCTTGATAAGGCAGTTCTTGCCCAGTAGAACAGTCAGCAGCTGCCAGGGTGCCAGATCGGCTTCCCTTCCTCAGCTCTGAGGGCTTACTAGCTGCCACACTAAATCAGTTCAAGAAGAAGAAAAGTAGTCCACAGAAATAATAGCAGCCTAGGTCTGCTTTCTCAGGACAGTGACCCATGGAAGGGCATCCTGCAATTTTTCAGCTCGGGTGCCAGGCTGAGACTTAGAAATAAAGGACTCAGTACTGGGGCAAGCAGCATGATACAGTGCCTGGGCAGACGAGAATAGGCATAAATACTACCCAAGAAGTCCCTGTGATGGTGATGTGATGTAGCAGAAAGCGCAAATGGAGTCAGAAGACCTTGGTTCGAATATTAGCACTATGGCTGATGAGATATGTGCCCAGACAAGTGACATAACCTGGAGGCCAAACACATGACTGAATGAAAAGAACCTTGGATTTGTTTGGAATCAAAAGGCCTGGGTTCAAATCCTGGCTTTGACACCAACTAACTGTGAGACCTTGGGCAAATTACTTCTCTGCACTGGATGCCACTTTTCTCATTCATCAAAATAAATAAAAGGGGGGACAGACTACATGATTTTTAAGGTCCCCAAAGTTCCATCATATTCTCTGTGACATTATAAATGCTTTCTCCCCTATTTTGAAGCTAATTCATGTCTACTCTAGGCCCCTAAAAATGAGAGGCTTTAAGCAAGGGGACAGAAATCTGACATTACACAATGTGAAGGAAGATACCAACCTAAAAGCATCGGGTTCCTGGTCATCTGGGAAACCCTTCCTTCCTAAATGCTGCTAGATCTTCTTCTCTCCTGCTTTTCTTCCCACTTAAGTCCTTCCCTGTGAAAGTTACAAAGGTTGTGCCCATGTTGATACCAAACTAATAATTTTCCTTTAAGGGAAGGACAGCTCAAACCCCAGCCTGAGGTGGGCTGTAAAAGCCCACTGCAAGCATTGTATGGGGTAAATATGAGAATTATGACTATGTGAATCCAAGTCAAGATGCCAGGCTACTTCAGAAGCTCCTAACTACTTCATTAAGACACATAAAATTACCAAGTGTGGGCATATCAGAAGTAGATGTCAGTGGACTAAAACTTAATTCACCTCCTCTCCTTTTCAGTCAGTGCACCAGAACCTACACTTAATGGACTTGCCTTTCCAATGCTGGTAGAACTTTGACCCTGCATTCTACACCATCATTTACCAATTTAAATCATTAACTAATTGCAGGTGTGTTCACCTTGTCACTCCAGATAAACTTGAAGTTTCTAGAATGCAAGAACCTGTCTTCTACTTATTTTATCTGGCCTTCCCAGCCCCCTATCCTCAGAGTGCTTCACACAGTAATAAGAACAAAGTAGGTACAAGAGATATTTGGGGAAAATAACTGTGGTGCTATGAAAGGAGTCAGACAACCTGGATTCAAGCCCTACCTATACTCCTTACCATCTTGTGACCTTGGGCAATTCAATTAACCTATCTGAGCCTCAGTTTCCCAGGTGTAAAATGAGTGGGTTGGACTAGAACACACTGGAAGTCCCATCCAGTTGTAAATCCCTGAGCTAGTGGTTGCTGGACAGTTTCTGTTCATGTTTCTGTACAAAACTTCCTAAAATTGTTTTCAAATTTCTTTAGCATGAGGCTATCCTCACATTATTAACTATAACAAGAATTAACCTTTTTAAAAATAATGTCTATGCTATGATGGCTCATCTTCACACGGAGATAACCCTTGTATCCTAGAAAGTTTGGCCACTGGAACTCAAGATCTGGAAAGGCTTAAAGGCCTGATGACAGAGTCTATGTTCATTTCCTAAGGACTGGCCTAACCCGAGTTCAGAAACTCATCGTCAGATTGGCTCCAGCCAATCTGCAAGAGCAGCTATTAAATTACAAAGGGGAGGGAGCGTACACATGAACAAAAAGCAATAAGCATTAAATTCCACATGCCAAACACATTATAACTCTTTAATGTATAATGTATAAGAGTGTATTATATAAGAATTATATTCTATATAATTATATTTAACATAATGTTAATATGGCTATATTCTAAATATGATATGCGATTTTAATACATGCTAGTAAATATTGATATTTGTTTTCTGGTGTTGCTATCCTTACCTTCCCGATGTCTTCCAGGATAAAATACAAACTCTTCATCTTGGCACTTAAAGTCCCTCACAGCCTGGCTCTGCTGTACTTTCCCCAACTTATTTTATATTATCTTCTTCCAAGTACTCTTTGTTCTAGCCAAACTGCCCTACTCATTCCCCAAACTCAATATTCCCATCCCCCACCCTCATGCCTTTGGACAGGCTGGGCCCCATGCCTGAAATTCATCTCCTCCCCACCTCTGCCTCTGAAAATCCTTAATTTGCCTCAAGATCCAGCTCATCTGCCATCCCCTATAGGAAGCCTTTCCTGAGCCCCTTAATTTTTAGTGTTTGTATCCTGCCTTTCTCCAATTATTATAATAGACTTATGGGTTTAGATGATGCCCACCCTTCCTCCCCACCAGTTGAATTTAAGTTTCCTTGTACGCCTGGACTTATCTCCATTCCACACCTTAGTACTCCCGAGGGCATTTCATATAGTAGGCATTTAATAAATATTTGTTGGATAGGAGATGGCTTCCCTGTCTTAATTGGTAAGACAGCAATCTAAATATAATGAGTTGTAAAGATGAAGAATAAGGACTATGTATTATTTCAAGATCTTAGGGTTGTTAGCCTAGAACCGTAAATGAACACAGAGGGCATCCAATTCCATCTCTTCATTTTATAAATACAGAAACTGAGACAGTGATTGGTGGCACAGAAGATTGTCAAAAGCAGGATTTGAACTCAGGTCCTCTGAATCTAGAGTCAGGGGTCTCTGCATTGTACCATTGTTGTTCAGTCCCCTTCAGTCATATCCAACTCTTTGTGATCTTGAGGGCCATATTGTCCATGGGGTTTTTGTGGCTTGCCATTTCGTTCTCCATCAGATTAAGGCAAACAGTGACTTGCCCAGAGTCACTAGTGTCCAAAGCCAGATTTGAACTCGGGTCTTCTGACTCCAGGCCTACCATGCTCTATCCACCAAGCCATCTAGCTGCACTATTGTACTATACCACCCCTGATATGAACATACCACTGCACATTTCATATTTCCTGCTTGTTATATTCTTAGGAGCCCTTTTTCAGGCCAGGGATACGTTCTGATGCCTTACTCTCTTTTGACAGGAGTGAGTAATGCTGAGCTGCGCCAGCCAGGAAAATCTCCCCAATTCAGCGTAAACTGGATTATGGGTAATGCAGACCTAGAGGTTATTAATGCCACTACGGGGAAGAGAAATTGTGGAAGCTCATCCAGGCTCTGCAAACATGTGCTCTCTGCCCGATGGGCAAAACTTTATGGAAAGGTAGGCCATGCATTTGCCTTGTTGTGGACAGACTGCGTGCCTTGGACCCAATTTCATACTTCACATGCTACTCCCAATACTCCTGCTTAGGTGACAATGAGAGCCACTACTCTGTGGGATCAGCTCTGGTTTTCATTTCCTTTCTCCTCAATGGCCTAAACCAATATAAATTCTCCATCTTCCCCCTGCTTCAAAACTTGTATTATGCCCCAGGAAGGGAATGCTCCATTTTAGAGCCTTGAGATTATATAACTGGGGTTCCAAGCATTCAACCATCAGTTTCCCTTAGAAACTGTCAGACTGTACTTTGGTGTTTCATCCAACACAACCAGACTGAACTGTCTGCCATACTTGCTACCCAGAGACCAGGGCAGCAGAAAATAAGACAACTGCCCCAGCCCTCGCACATCCAGAAGTCTAGGTGGAAGAGACGGAAGAAGCCTCTCCTGAGGGTCACACAGTCTTCCTCACTCAAGCACCGAATTTGAATGAACTTTTGTCTCTTCCTCATCTTGCAGAGAGCAAATTTAAGGACAACAGCTATCTCCTTTTTCTCTTTTCAAAGCCCTTAAATCAATGTGCTGGAGGAAGAATATATGCTGATAGACAAATCCCCTAGTCTTGAACCCAAATAGAAATGGGGACCATTAAACCACCCATAACGATCTCTGTGGGCCGTGTATTGACCTGAAAACCACACGTTTACATATTTTTAATTAGTACATCAACACATTAAAATCAGATAGGAACTATGTTTTAATGTGGTTTGGACTGCACTCAGGAGCATTGTGGGCCATGAGGGGCCTGCAGGCCACATGTCTGACATCACTGCTCTAGGAGGGCCAAGGTCAGAGTACATGATGAACTTCAAACACCTCCCCATTAGAGATTCTACAAGACTTGTGAAGGGAAGAGTAGCTTAGACATCTGATAATAGAGACCTCAAGTTCTTCTGACCTACTACTTGGGCAGCTGCTAGAAGAAAAAGAAAAAAAGAAACATTTCAAACTCAGGGGAAAATCAGATTTATTACTCCAAACCCAGCAGATGGTACCTTCAAAAATCAGACTCTTTCATATCAACTATTTTCATAACAGATTTTTTTCAATAGCCTTTTCCTTAGGATTAATTATATAGAGATTATTTTTGAAGCAGTATCAGAACCACGTATTCATAAGCATTTTGACTTCTAAAAAAAGGGACAAAAATAGATTATTAAATACACATACCTTGGTCATTTATGAACTAATATTACCTCTAAGTGCCCAAATTCCATCATAAGGAAGACACGGTATAAGAGAGCATTGGAATTTTAATTGACCTGAATCCTACTCCCAGCTCTGCTACTAACACAACTACTTCAATTCTGGGTCTCATTTTCTTCATCTTTAAAATAAAAGGAGGGGGACTGAATCAGAGACCTCAAACCCAAGCATCCATGATAGGACTGCTTGTAGATTCATACAGAGGTGGGGCAAGGAGAAGAGTACTACCGATCAGTAAGGAACCTGAATTTGAGATCAAAGGGCTATATCATCTTTATGTTCATTTTTTGGCTCTAAAATCAAGGCCTTTGAGTCTGTGTTGGATTTATTATTGGCAGGTTTTCCCATAAGTTACACGATTTAGGTTGTTTGCATTTGGGGGTTGGGTTTTTTTTTTCCTTTTCATATAATGTCAAAGATGTACTGTTGGATTGACTAAGTTAAGACTTTGGTAGGTCAGAGGGAGTCATTGATTTTATCCTCCTACGAAACAAAAGACGCTTTCTTCTCCTGCACATGCTTGGGGTGGTATTGGACTGTGAACACGTGTCTTTGTCTCAAAGATTGTTTCTGGCAGACACTTCGGATTGACTTTCTAATGAGCATTTCCCCAGAACTAACCCAAGGCCCTCCCCATTCCTTACTTTCCCTCCCCTTCCATGTCTCCAACCTCTCAGCACTGGATGCTGGCATGAAGCCCTGCTGTTTGAATCCGTGTCCTGTGCTGATTTCATAGTGCTCACCATTATACCTTGAAACTCAAAGAAGGAAAAATCCTGTTCCAAACTGTCCGAGTTGCTTATGTCATTTGATTAATAGAAAGCTCTTGCTTTACTTTTAAGGCTCTGCTTTAAAAAAAAAATCCTTCCCACCTTTTCTTTTTTTCCCCCATCTATCCCTACCTCATTCCTGTCATCAAAAAGCTACCACTCTAGTAGAAAAGCCATTTGTTTTAGCCTTTCATTGCACTAACGTCTGCTTGAACAAATGCTCCTTGAACCAGTAGGCTTGCCAAAAAGGTGCCTGCCAGACACAGCTCTCTTGTACAGTTATCTCTTTAATATTTTACAATGGGGTTTTTTTTCCAAAAGGGCAAACACCCAGAGATCCCCGTTCGTTTGTTGCTTATGAAATTCATAGGAAAGATTACTCAGCTGTGAAGAGCCCCACCCCCCTACCCCTGCTCCATTCTGTTGGCTTATTTGTTTGTTCTCTCTGATTTCTGTTTCACAGCTGAGCACACGGATACCAAGCCATGGAGATGCGCCATCAGTGTACTGCGAGGCCAAGCTGGTGGCCCAGACTTACCAGTCTGTTAAACAGCAGCTGTTTAAAGCATTTCAGAAAGCAGGTCTGGGCACCTGGGTGAGGAAACCCCCAGAGCAAGACCAATTTCTACTAACTGTATAAATCATTAGACTCCTTTGCTACTCAACCAGATTGAAACAAGTGGAGAAAGCCAGGGCAGGACAAGTGAGCTAAACAAAGGGATTGTGCTGATCAGTTTTCCCTTTTAGGTCCCAGAAAGACATACAAGCAAAGTGTATTGTATTGGAATGAGGCACAAAAATATGGCTTTGGAAACCATCGCTTCTCATTGCCAACACCCTACCATGGTTGTGAATGCCAAGACTCCTGTCTGGCATATGTAACAGTGCCACTGAGTGATGCCATGTTCCTTCCATTTCTTCCCCAGGATATGATGCTGAGTGTGATTCCTACTTAAGATTCTGGGGTAATAGTCATGGTTTAAAAAAAAAAAAGAGGTACCAAACTAACCCCAGCTCAAAATGAACTCAGGTACCACCAACATCCCCAGCTTTCCAAATAAGCCAAAAGTGGAGAAGAAATCCCCTTTCTAGCTAGTGCCCCCTCTATAAGGGTGAGATACACAAGACTAAAAGCAAATTTCCCCATTATAGTGCACAAACTCTTCTTGGATCCTCTTTCATGACATGATTTTGAGTGTCTTGTAAAGGTCAATCTAGCATATAACTTCATCTCTATTTGGCCTGCTCAAACACCTGAAATTCTACCTTTAGAGAGTCACAGCATTAGATGGATGCATCTTCATGAGGTTTGCACTAAAATAAAGATCCCCCTGAAAGGAGTAACATATTGATCTAATACCTATTAACACCCTCACTGTGATTAGTTTGTCAGACAACTAGCAGTCACCTTATAAAAGGCAGAGCTGGGACCCGAGAGAACTAGAGAAAAGATGGGCAAATGTTAAGTATTGAAGGAAGGTTCAGAAAAGACCGAGAGCTTGGGATATTGTCTTTTGGAGCATGACTTCTTAAGGCATTTCAAGATGGAACAATTTGGTATGGAGGCTCTGTGCCTGGCAGAGGCATGGGTCATTGGGTCATAGACTGCTGCTTACATTACTAACACCTAAGGTTTACTCTATGGATAAAATGTCTCAGTTCTACTGTTAATTCAACTGAGTGACATTGGGTGAGACATTTTCCTTCTCTGGGTTCTCAGTTGCCTGGAATCAATAAAATGAGAAACTAGATGATCTTTGAGGTCCCTTCAGTCCAAGGGGTACCACGAGGGCAACAAACACTTCAAGAAAGGAGGGACACTGAAAGGAGAGAGAGGGGAAGTCCTAAAATGGCAGTTTCACAAGAAACTGCCCATTTCACAATTTTCTACGTGGTTGACCCTGGACCCCAGTTCATTCAGTCAACCATCACTTATACCAAGCACCTCCTATATACCAAGGCCAATGATGGTTGCTGGAAATGCAAAATCAAAAGTAAAGTGGTGTCTATCTTCAAGAAACATCCCTTGGGAGAAAACATGTCCAATAGAGAAGTGAACATAAAACATACGCAGAGTAAAAAACAAAGTAATGGGAATGAGGGGCTAGTACCTGGGGCATTAGGATAAGCCTCAAGATAGGGGAAAATGGAGAATAGCAAAAGTAACCAAAATTGGCATTACATACTACAGTAAGTCTCTCATCATACAGAACTGCCCCAAACCCAACAAGAGATCACCCAATCCCTGAGTCCCAATGTTTTCCTGAGAGGTTAGAGATGCAGCTATATCCATTCACTTAATAAACATTAACAAAGTACCTACTCTTTGCCAGGCACTAGGCATTAAGGGGCTACAAAGGTGAGTAAGAAATGGTCTCTGCCCTCAGGGAGCTTATAATCTAGTAGGAAAGATAACCTGTGTATGCAAAAACTGTAAGACATGATAAGATTTAGCAATGCAGTGAGAGGTATAGAATGTAAATGGAATTAAGAGGAGTGAATGATCCCTTCTGGATGGGAAGGTTTCATGGAGAAGTTTGGATTTCAGTTGTATCTGAAGGCACTAACGTCCCATAGTCTCAGGGCCACAGGGTTAGATCATTGTATCCCAGGGTCATAGGTAATTGCCTACATTGCCAATGCCTACGACTCTCTATTTGTCTCCAAAGTCCTATATGTACCACAAACTCACTATGTGACCTTGACAAAGTGACTTCATCTCTCTAAGTCTCAGTTTTCTCATCTGCAAAATGCGAAAGTTGGGCTAGATGACCTCTGAAGTCCCTTCCAGGTCATAGTCCATGATTCTAAGTAGCTTAGAGACTCAAGAGACTTCAGGCCAGTACAACAAGACAAGGTCTACATGGCACAAAAGGATACGAAGGATTAGGTGGTAAATTCAGGTAGTATAGATAAGTCACCGAGAATAATTCCATCCCCTCTGGCCTTCCTCCCAGCCCCCCAAATTTGTAGCTTTAAAGAACAGAGTAGATAGCTCTGAGAATGAGAAAGCAAAATTAATTGCATCAGATTTTGAATAATTCATGTCCCCATTATGGAAAGGGAAACAAAACAAAAGTTTGGGAGTGGGACAATAAAGTCAAAATGTCTGCATCACCCAGACTGCCTTTTCATCACCTGAATTCACCACCCAATTCCATATCTCTTTGTGCTAAGCATGCCCTGCCAATACCAATGACTCCAAGTTACATGTTTTTGAGGAACATGGAAAAGAAAGGTCTTGGTTTCTAGGGCAGATGCATTCTTCCTCAGATCTATGTGACCTGTTGCTGAAGTCTCCATAGTATACTAACATCTTCCACCCCATAACATGCATTGCTTTCTTGTCACCAAGGAAAACATCCCCCACACACTGTTCTTTGCCAGGTCCAAAAGTCACAAAGCCAGAGGGATCCCTTGTTAACCATCACTTGTTAACTGTAGCTGAACTCAAATGACAAAATGGCACCCCTCCTCTAAGCTTTGTTCGTCCACCCCCAGAACCATTCTTCATGTCCAATGTATATTATCAAGTCTTTTGGTTTCAGTGTTTCCTTTCCCCTCCCCCCATCAAAAGGATTTCGATATCTCAAACCTCTGTTTCCTTTTTGATTGCTTCTCTCCCAATCTGTATATAATCATATATATGTCATGCTGCTACTGATTTGTGACGAATGTCTTCTTGTTCCCCCAAAATGTTACTTTTCAAACACATAGCTCATGGGTTTTTTCCATACAATTTGCTTTTTATGAGGAAATGTTCTTATCAATAAAGTTAAATTCTTTTTAAAAATATATATTATATATATAGCATTTACCATGTCTGGAGAGCCATATGGAGTAAAGACATAGTATACTGATGCCCAGAATAGAATAGTTACAGTATTTTGATGAGCTCCTATTTTTAGATTACAAATTTCAAGCTGTGTCTATAGTATTTGTTTTCTAAGAAAAATAATTAAAGTTGTTCAAATTTTATTGTAATAAAGAAAAGTAGATGTTTTTAATTTAGGGTAACAGAGATTCCCCTCGAAGAAATCTTGCCAATGACACATCCCGTCTGAACTGTCCAAAATACAAAAATAACACTTGCTAACCAAAACTAATGAGAAGTTAGGAAAAGTCCTGGGGCAGGGGCGGGGGTTGGAGGGAGACATCCAATTGCTGTGACCATCTCCTCCTTTGGGTTCACCTTATGTACCTTTGGCGAGGTCTCTACCTTGCCTCTCCGATAGGATCCAATGTCTACATCCCAGCTTACTACTCAGGATAATCTATTGGTCAATATATTTCTTCAGGGAATCCCTAAGACAGGAGCACGACACTCTATAGGAAAAATAACATTAGGAGCAGAGAGAGACACCCCCCCAAAGTTCCTCTGGGAAATTTCTACCCCTTGTATCCCTTCTCTTTTTCTCTCTTTATCCTTTTGGTCCATGACACAACTTAATGGAAAGAATGCTGCATCTGGCGTCTGAAGACAGGAGCTTTTAGTCCCAGCTCTGCTAATTTACTAGATGTGTGACCAGAATCCTTCTGATGCTTAGTTTACTCATCTGTAAAATAGGACAATAAAAGTGTACTACCTACCTCACAGGGTTGTTGTGAGGATCAAACGAGATAATTTAAACTGTAAAGCACCATATCAATGTTCCCTTCTATTTCTTTATTCTCATTTCTTTCCCTTCCCCCATCCATGAACTCTTTTTCCCACCTATAATTCCTGACAGGTATACCCACAGGTGTTTATGAATTCAGGACTAAAGAGAATTCTGCCCCTGGTCCTGTGTACCTAACCAGCCTAAAAAGTTAAGGTTAACTGGTTCTGACTGATTGGAAGACTCTTGTTTGCAATGGGACCTTTGCAAGGAAATGCAGACTGCAAGTATGAGATTGGGTATCAAGTACAACATCTTAAGACAACTCTTTATTTTAAAGTATGGCATACTGAACGATCCTTCCTCTAATAAAAAGACTTGATGACAATCCCAATTCCCTCACCTCATCTCACATAGGCAGTAGGTCTCTAATGTTCCTTAGAATAAGCAGCCACTCCAAACCCAGGCAACCACATCCCAGCAGTTAACTGTAAACATTCAACGTTTTCTGAAGCAAAAGGACCTCACCCAATAGAAATTCTTAAATGAAGGTATGTACATAAAAGCATGGCTGAATGGCAATACTGTACCAATGGGTGTACATTTGTAATATTTGTAAAAAAAAAAAAAAACCACAAAGAAATCTGAATTTACACATGTGAATTTGCCGCTAAGTTCTGTAAATTGCACTTCAGTGACACCTGATAAGTGAATGTTTCTGTTAAGTGAATAAAAATCCCAAGTAAAATTGTTCTCTCCTGCATTGCTGGGCCTTCTTCATCTTAGCTGTGTTCTAGCAGTTTCCTGAAGTCTGAGCTCTGTAGCTTCAAGCTTCACCAAGATTCCTTGAACCCTGAGGGGAATGGCAGCCAGGTCAGAGGCCCCGAGGTCAAATCTTACCCCTACCACTCACTAGCTGTCTGATTTGAGCCAAGTCAGCTCACCTGTAAGACTCTGTTTCCCTCACCCACAAAAAGGTGAAGTTGACTAGGTCACCTCCAAAGTTCCTTACAGCTCTACAGCTATGATACCATGACCTATATCTATAACAAAAAAAAAAAGCACCCACACCTGAAAAAGTATTCATTCATATATGTTTCCCAGTGGATTCTGGCCTCAAAATTGTTGACCATTCAGATATCACCCTTGCCAGTTTTGCCTGTAGCATCTCATGAAAAGTTTATGAGACAAGAGGTCAGGAGTCATGGATTCTAACCCTGGCTCAGGTATTCATAAGTCACAGATCTTTTAAACCAGTCATTTAATCTCTTGGAGCCTGTTTCATCATCTGTAAAATGGGAATAATTCCCTCTCTTCTCACACAGTGTTATATGTTATCTCATTTGATGCTTACAATAAAGTGTTCTGAAAAGCACTATACAGATGCTATGCAGCATCCTGGAAAGTAAAACACCACACAGAGGTTATTTTTGATCCATGACAAAACTGGATTTCCCAGAATTGATGCATTCCTCTTAGGCTGTATATGAAATTGTGTATTCTGTCAGTTTCAACCTCACTTACACATTGTCAGTTTGCAGTTTACCTTCCTCGCTAAAAATTTTTAAAAATCACTCAGATGGATTTGCCGTCCCTGACCCTCCATCCTCTGGGCTGCAGCTGGATGCCCAGTGGGATAACCCACACTTCTGATAGCCTTTAAAGACTAAAGGAGGGGGCAGCTGGCTGGTGCAGTGGATAGAGCACCAGCCCTGGAGTCAGGAGGACCTGACTTCGTATCCAGCCTCAGACACTTACTAGCTTTGTGACTCTGGACCCCAATTGCCCCCCCTAAAAAAAAATTGAAAGAAAGTAAATTCTGGGAAATTATTCCCAGTTACCAGAGAATTAGCCCATACAATATTTTCAAGTGAGCAGAATAGAAAACTTATTTTAAAAAGTGATTTGAAGGATGATGAATGAGGTCCCCTACTCAAAATCATCCTCTCTCTGTTATGACATTTAAAATTATATTATTAGGGATTCATTTTTAGGGACTCTACTTATCAGTTTTTAAATGTCCACCACTGAAATACAAACAGATCTAGATGTGGCCCTGAAGATCAACCTAATCCCCTAATTTTACAAATGAAGAAACTGAGGCCCAGTTAGTTAACTTAACCAGTTAGGTTAAATGACTTTTCCAATACCAGACAGGTTCTAAATATCATGAGTAGAATTTGAACCTCCAGAAAAGAGTATAAAGAAAATAATCCAAGCAAGAAGAGAGACAAACAGAATTCAAGGCCATCCTGTGGACAAAGGGTAACATGAAGCTTCTTAACATGGTATAGCCACAGAGAACTAGAGTGAGAAACTAGAGAAGCGCACTCTAATTCTAGCTCTGTCTGTAACTATTCTCTCTGATTCTGGGCAATTAATAACCATTCTAGGCCTCAGTTTCCTAATCTGTGAAATGATGGGGTCAGACAATCTGATCTCTAAGGTCCAAGTTCTTACATTCCTGATTTGTTCCCTCCAGAAACATGCTTCAGACTTTAGGAGAGATTAAACCTTCTTTTCTTCAACTGCTGCCACCAATCCTCACCTGGCCCTGAAGAACACCAGATTCTCCACTAGCACCACCCAGTCTTAGAGGTCAGAGTTTTCTAAGAGAACTCAGCTAAACTGTGAAGAAGGAAAAGTAAAATAAACCGAAAAGAGACAGAGCCGACCAATCATAGAACCAGGAAGTTGAAGTAGGAGGCAGCATGGTAGAGGGGAAGGAACACTTCCTCTAGAGTTGGACAATCTGAATTCAAATCTCATCTTAGTTTTCTGGACGAGGCACTAAACTTCCCTGGAGCCTCAGTTTCCTCATGAGTAAAATGAGGGGTTTGAACTATATGATGTCTAGGTCCTTTCCAACTCTGGATTCATTATCCTAGGACTGTTGACAATCTAGCTAGTTCAGCACAGCTAACAAGCCTCTAGCTCTGACTCAACCAGGACAGCTAAGGTGGCCCAATGGAGAAAGCTCAGGGCCTGCCATCAGAGTCTTGAGCCTCATCTTCCCAAGTTCAAATCTGGCCTCAGACACTTCCATGCTGTGTGATACTGGGTAAGCCACTTAGCCCTCTTTGCCTCATTTTCCTTATCTGTAAAATAAGCTGGAGAAAGAAATGGCAAACCACTCCAGTATCTTTGCCAGGAAAACCCCAAACGGGGTCAGACACAACTGAAAACGACTGACCTGACTCAACCATGTTTTCCTCAAAATGGGACCTGGTACATGACCAGCCCTCCTAACACCGAGGAAGCATCTACAACTTTGCATAAACAACAATCATAACCATGTCTAATTTCTACCAATGAGGGAACGGTTAGGAGGAGTGTGACCCAGTGAATAGCAGGCTAGCCTTGGACACAAGAAGGCCTGGGTTCAAGTATTGCCCCTCATTTATTCGATTTGTTGCCCAAGCAAAGTCATTCAACTTTTCCATGTCCCAGGTAACTCTAAGACTGTAAGTAATGATGAATTGCCTAGATGCATCAACGGAGAGGAGCTCCCCACATGAGTGAAATCACGTGTCTGAACCCATACACAGAGCCTTGCCCCTAAAAAGGGGAGGGAGGAAGGGTCTATTGTCATAGGCCATATATGATTAGTCTGGATGCTGACTAGTTTGAAAGCTGGCCAAGAACAAGATATGCATGTGGGATGCAGGTGAGGGGGACAAGGCCATCATTGTCAGGGAACTATTTATTCACAGTCACACATTCTGCATGCACACCTAGGACAAGTGGGCATCCTGTCCCCACTTTGGACAATCTCTTTCCAAACAGACTAGAAAAGACAGAAATAACAATTAGCAGTTTCTCATTCCTGCTGACATGAAGCAATTCTCATAATCTCCTTAGGCCCCAATTTCCTCATCTGTACAATGAAGGGGGGACTTGCAAGCTCTCTTCCAGTTCTGAATCTATGCACAAACGGGATGTGCTTCATGGGGCAGGGGGAACACTCAGACTCTACATAGTTCTTTTCTGAGTAGGGATCAGTGCACAAGCCAAGATACACCAGCTCTTCTCTCACCTGAGCAGTCACTCGATTCTCTCCCGCCTCATTTCTATACCACTCACTCAATAACTTCATTTCACATGAGCTCTAATATATTAAAGTTCTTCTCTGTAACTGCTCGTAGACTCCCCAAGCACAAATGCCAACTCTCCAGCAGCAGGTGGATAGACCACTGGGCTTACAGTCAGGAAGAGTTCAAATCTGGCCTCAAACCCATCCCAGCTGTGTGACCCTGGGCAAGTCACTTAACTCTTGTTTGCCTCAGTTTCCTCAATTGTAAAATGAAGATTATAACAGCCCTACCTCAGCTGTGAAATAAAGGTAATAATAGCACAGGGTCGTTGGGAGCATCAAATGAAATAATTTTGGTATAAAGTGCTTAGCGCATGGCCTAGCACATAGTAAACATTATATAAATGCTGGTTTCTTTCCCTTACCCTGCCAACATTCTTGACTCTTTCCTACAATAGCAAAAAAAAAAAGTCCATAAAACAACCAAATTCTAGACCTGAGATACTTCTTATTGCTCTTAAATAAACCTCAACTAACTGGAAGCTCTCTTTTCCCTCCCTACCATTACCACGCTGAGGCATGTATGCACATACACACAGCCCCACTGCATAGATGTTCCTCCCTTATTATTTGGGCCCCAAAGTTTATCCAACATATGACAACTGTGGAAAGAGAAAAGGGGCATGGAAAGAGACATTTGGATGCCAGAGCAAAGTCAACTGCTATTCAGTAGACATTTATCAACTATTTATTGAAGCATATGTATAAGCCATACATTGCCTTGGCGTTGACTAGTTTGAAAGTTAGTTAGCCAAGACCAAAACATACACATGGGAGTACAGGTGAGGAGGACCAGGGCACCGTTGTCAGAGAACTATCATTCACTGTCACATATTATCCCTGCCCTACCTAGATCATTCTCTCCCTGCTTTGGACACCCTCTTTCCAAACAGAATAGAAAAGGCACAAAAATAATCATTAACAGTTTTTATTCCTCATCTCCAGCTGACCATAAGGAAGTCTCCTAGACTCCTCGGGCCTCCATTTCCTCATCTATAAAATGAGAGGGATTGTACTAGGCACAAGAGACACAAAAACCCAAACAGCCCTAATCCTCCAGTATTTCACAGGAACAGTTATTTTCATTGGATTGGAGCTGTGAGGCCTCCCCAAAACAACTCTTGAAAAAAAGTGGTTCTAAGGAGACATTACCAACTATCTCCTTGGATCCACCCAGAATCCCTGAAGACGTGGAGAAAGCAACAATTCAGTAAGTTACAAAATGGATTCTTCATAACCTCGTTAGGGTTCATGCTTCCACACATGGCCCCAAAGCGCCTTCTACTTCGACAATTCCCTGCCACAAACATTAATTAAGCATCTACTCTGTGCAAACTACAATGCTAGAAACTGGAGGAGATACAGACTTCAGATAATAACCAGTCTCTGCTGCATAGAGCTTTCATTCAATCTAAAACAAGGGCAAAATTTAAGAATAGATAACTATAATGCACATTACCTGATAAGTGCGTCCAAAAGACATGAAATAACCACTCTGTGAGTAGTGAGTAGAGAAACTCAAAGCCCGTTAAGGCCATG